ATTTTTAAAATTATTAAATATTGTCTAATAAATTTTTTAAAAATATTAAATATTTAAAAATTGTCTTCTATTTATTTTATAAATTTTAATTTCAAATTTTAATATATGTATTTATTTAAAATCAATTCTTCTTCTGATTTAAATTAAATTATCTTATCCAAATTAAAAATTTAAAACTTGAGAAATTTGAATTGATTTATTCAAATAAAATATTTAATAAAAGAAAAATTAAAATCAAAGTATTTTAATTCCAAAAATTTTAAATTTCTTAGACTTCTAACATATCCCATCCAAACACAATCTAAGAAAAATGTTATAACAATATATTATTTAACCCATCATTTATTATAATGTTTATTATAAATTAAAATTATAAGTAGAATGCGTAAAATATAAAATGAAATGTATAAAATTATGTGATTTTTTATTAATCTTTTAATATGTTAAGATTTTCAATTTATCAAATAAGAAGACCAACAATAATAAACAAATTGATAATCTTGTAAATTATCCATAATGCATTTTTAGAGAAATTATATCACTCATTTGAAATATATATTTCATTACTTAAAATTGTTATTGGTTCAAGTAGTTCAGTACTTGTGTTTCTTAATCAAAGTCACAGTCTACTCTCTAACTTGAACATAAAGTCTCAACTAGAGATACCATTTTATTTTTATAGAAGTCAACCAATGAAAAATAGTTACGCATCCTTAATAGACTAATTTATCCCTTAGGCCGAGCGGAGAAGTTGTTTCATTTTACGATACAGGCAGTAATAAACACGGCAAAAAATGTATATATATATATATATATATATATATATATATATATATATATTTTTATGTGTGTGTGCGCGTGTGTCATATAAGATGATATTAAGAGAAAAATGTTATTTTTTTTATTTATTTTAGTTTTTGTAGAAATTTTTCTCATTTTAATCTTATTTTTTATGTAACAGCCCAAAATTACTGGGCCAGAGACCCAATTGATTGCCCGGAACGGGCCATTTTAAAAGTGAAACGGACCGTTCTGGAATAAGAAAAATGCCCAAAATTGGAGAAGTAGAACGGGCCGTTCTGGTTTGGAGAACTGGCCGTTCTGGTTTGGAGAACGGGCCGTTCTGGTGGGAGAACGGGCCGTTCTGCTGGGATTGAGAACGGGCCGTTCTGGTTTTGGAACGGGTCGTTCCAGTTAAGAATTTTGCGTAGTTTCGTAGGGTCCAGAACGGTCGTTCCACTTTTGGAACAGGCCGTTCCGGTAGGTGAGCCTGAAATTCTATAAATAGCGCCCCTCACCTCTCATTTTCACACATCTCTCATTCTCTCTTTCGATTATCTTCTGTTCTCTCTTCTTTCCCTCTTCTTCTCTCTGAAGACCAAGTGGCATTTAGAGGAGGAGACCAAGAGATTCCTGTTTTAGTTCAACCGCTGTTTATACAGGTACGAGGGAAAAGGAGATTTATTTATATGCAAAGTTACATGAGGGAATTGGGTAGAAGAGGAAGCTCGTAGGATTATGAGTAATTTTATAATTATTTCTGTTTGAGAAATTAATGATACCATTAGATTCTGTATGTGTTGAGGATTAGAAATATATATTTAATTTATGAAAATGATGATATGGGAGAGAGAACGAAATTATAGGAAAGTGCCTGTATGTTAAGTTTTGGAAAAATTGAATTATTTCTGTTTGAGAAATTAATGATACCATTAGATTCTGTATGTGTTGAGGATTAGAAATATATATTTAATTTGTAAGAATAATGATCTAGGAAAGAGAACGAAATTGTAGAAAAGTGTCTGTGAGTTGGGTTTTGGAATAATTGAGGGTTTTACCATTTATGTTAAGATTATATTAATTGGTAATTCCATTGATTATTATATTAATTTATGAATGTTATTGTTATATTACTTGATAAGAATTGATGATCTAGATGTGAATTGCTTGAGGGGTGTGTAAACCCTTATTTTGTTGGACTTATCTGTTGTGTATATGGAATTGTATATGTGATATGAAATTGAGCTATGAGATGAGATGTTGTATGGATGTGATTATGATTGTGATTGTGGTTCCTCACATCAATGACTAGGGATGGCACGGCCCCTGGGTAAGTGATGCTATAGGGAGGGCGTGACCCTGACATGATGTGAGATGAGTGAGACAATTAACATGTATCACTTATGTCAGTTGTGGCGTGGCCTTGACATAGTGTTAATTGTAAGAATTGTGTGGATTGTGATGTGATTGTGGTTCTTCACACCTATGACCAGGGGTGAGCACGGCCCGGGATTGTTACATGGGTATCGTGACCTTGGTTAACATGTCGGGGGTGAGCACGGCCCTGGGTTAGGGGTAACGTGACCTCGGCACAGTGTTATATCAGGGGTGAGCACGGCCTTGGATTGTTACGTGGGTATCGTGACCTTGAATAACATGTCGGGGGTGAGCACGACCCTAGGCTAGATATGCTACAGGGGGATCGTGACCTTGGCACAGTGTTATATCGGGGGTGAGCACGGCCTTGGATTGTTAAATGGGTAACGTGACCTTGGCATAGTGTGAAGTGCAAGATTTGTGATGATTGGTGTGATTGCGAATTATGACGTGATGATGATGTATGATTGATCGAGTTATGATATGTTGAAATGTTTATGAATATTTTATTAAGTATAGAGTCATAATGAGACGATATGTTGCGTTTTCCTTATGTGCTTTATATATAGATGCTTTCTTTTCTCACCGTACAATTTGTGGATGTTTTAGGTGAGGAAGATCCGGCTATGAGTGACATCTAGAATGTCAACAGTTTATTTATGGGTATGTTTTGATATTGTGACATCGGGGCAGATAATTTCTAGGACATGAATTGTATTTGTATACGGAGTTGAACCTATTATTTTGAAAACATTTTGTAATCTCTTATGTTTTATTTTCCAAGTTTCATTTCAGAATATTTTGGATATTGAAGAATGTTTCTAAAGGTTTTATGTAAACCCTTTTACCTATTTTGAAAATTTGATTTCCTTAGTTTATCTATATTATTACAATATATGTGTTGGGGTAGTAAGGGTGTCACATTTTATGTTTTGATTTTAGACAATAAAAAAAAGGAAGAGTAAGCCTTTACAATTATGAAGAGTAGAGACCATAATAAAACATTAGAGTTCTTAGCGAATAATCAAGCCTTAGAAGTGATTAAAATAAATGAAGATCGTACAATAATCAACACATGATAAATAGTATCATAAAATTATTAAAATGTTTAGTGAAGATAATTTTTATTATACAAATATTTAAATTGTCATGAGGTTAGTAATTGTCATATGTGATTAATTATATGTCATAAAGTTATTGAATTGTTTAAATATTAGAGTTCTCTAATTTGGTACTTGAAGTTTTGATTATGAATTTAGTAGTTTAAGATTTCAATTATTCTTGTTGATTTTGCATACAATAGATTATTGATTTTGTGTATTGGATGATGATTTAATGAAATGTTGATTTTTGTATCGAAAGTTGTTCACTTAACTTGCTATATTACCTTTTTTTCTTTTAGATTTTTAAATTCATTTTTTGACAATAGTTACCACATTATTACTTAATGATGATACTTGATAAGAAGAGTTAAAAATAATGACAATAATAATTAAGAGATTAAGATTAATAAAAAAAATTACTAAAAAATTAAAAGTAAATTTTATAATAAAAAATGAGAAATTAGAATTGATAAAAAAAATTATTAAAGGACAAAAAATAATTTTGTGAAAAAATGATAGATTAAAAACATAATTTACAATAAAATAAAATAAGATTAAACATAATTATCATGTAATACTAATTGATTACGTGACAAGTAAAGTAATTGTCACATCTTTAATTAATACTAATATTTGATAACAAGGATCACATATGTCAATGAAAAAAAAATTAAAAATTAAGGTAGGTCAAAATTTAGGTTTTATATAAAAAAAATGAAAATAGTATTATTAAAAAAAAACATGATTGACCACACTTTTTTATTTACAAAAACTCAAAGTAAAAACCTTTATTAAGGAGAAATAAGTATCACTCGAACCAACTAATAGTCCATATAAATCATAATCATAGTTTATGACTAAAAAATATGAATGGAAATTTAACTGTTTATTTTAATATTATATAATATTAATATTAATGTTGTCATAGTTATTATCGAACCATCAAGTTAACTACAATTGAAATGGCTACGTTGAAATTAGTCTGTATGACACGATATGGGATTAAAATAAAGGTTGGGGGACTCAGATGAAGAGTAGCACGCGCCATTGTTGGTAGTGGGATTAAATTTTGCGTGTTTCTTTCTTTCTGTCTGTCATCCTTTACCTCGCAGTTCGGGAACTGCTGCCACTTTCACTCTTTGGATTCTTTCCTTCTCTAACCACAAAGCTATTTGTCCGATTTGGATCACACACAGATACAACCGTTTACAAACACCTTCACATTTCACTTTTCTCTTCCCTCCCAAGATTCAATTTTCCCTTCAAAACGACCAACATCCCACTTCTGAAGTGAACCAGTTAGGTGAGTTCATTTCAACATTTTGTGTGCCAAAACACAAAGAAAAAAAGGAAAGATTTGTTGCCACATCACTATTTTGTATCTAGATGTATGTATGTACTTCACTTCTTTGTATGTGTCCCAAGTTTGAGTGCAGAACAAAACATTGAAGTGTTTAAGGCGTCAAGATGTGACTATGATTGTGTTGGGTGAGGATTGAGGAACATGGTTTCATGGGTGTGTGTTTGTGTTTGTCTTTGTGATCTGTGAGATGAGATTGAGGTGTCAGAAAGCATGTATCCTAGGTTGTTGTTTTATGACCACACCCATTTGAAGATGGCATGGGTTAAGCATCAAATCCAGCAAAAAGACGGTTACTTGGGCTACTCACCACCTCTTTTGTCTTCACCATACCCTCCTGGTCCTTCTTTCCACAAGGAATCATCATTGCCTTCTTCAACACCGCCTTCATCATCTGGCACAAGAATTAGTCCTGCTGTTCTTTTCATCATAGTGGTTCTTGCTGTTTTGTTTTTCATCTCTGGCCTCCTCCACCTGCTTGTTAGATTTCTCATGAAGCACCCTTCTTCTTCTGCATCTGCTCAATCCACCAGGCAACAAGAGATTTCCACATCTGATGCTCTCCAGAGGCAGCTTCAGCAGCTCTTCCACCTGCATGACTCTGGCTTGGATCAAGCCTTCATTGATGCTCTTCCTGTTTTTCAGTACAAGGAGATTGTGGGGTTGAAGGAGCCTTTTGACTGTGCTGTTTGCTTGTGTGAGTTTTCTGAGAAGGATAAGCTCAGGTTGTTGCCTATGTGCAGCCATGCTTTCCACATAAGTTGTATAGACACATGGCTTTTGTCAAACTCCACATGCCCTCTTTGTAGAGGAACACTTCTCACACAAGGGTTTTCCATTGAGAATCCAATATTTGATTTTGATGATCTGAGGGAGGATGAAGGATGCCCTTGTAGTGTAGACAGTGGATTCACTACTAGGCAGAAAACTGTTGTGGCTGAAGAAACTGTGGAGAAAGGTGTTTTCCCTGTGAGGCTTGGGAAGTTCAAGAAGCTGAATGTGGAGAGTGGGGAGAGGGAAGTGGGAGAGACTAGTAGTAGCAATTTGGATGCAAGAAGGTGTTATTCAATGGGGTCTTACCAATATGTGGTTGGCAATTCAGACCTAAGGGTGGCCTTGAACCATGAAAGTAAGGGTCAATTCACAAGAAGGCTCACCAAAGGAATGATGGAACATGGTGATGATGGGAAGCTTTCAGTGGAGGGGGATGTGGAAGCAAAGAAGATTAGTAGTGTCAGTAAAGGTGACAGCTTTTCTGTGTCCAAAATCTGGCTGTGGCCAAAGAGGGGGAAATTACCTGGTTCTTCTTTGGATGCTCAATTGGGCATGCCAGTGCCATCTTATACAGATTTTCAAGGGATGAGGGAAACACAAGGGGCATGAAACTCTCAAAGGTATCCACATGTTTTCACTTTTTTTTCTTCTTGTTTCACTTGAATTTGTTTCAATCAATTGATTAAAGCAAGCTTCCCCCCTTGCCTTAGAATTGAACAAAAATTTTGGTGTGCTAATTTTGACATTGTAACTGATTGTGCCATACTGTTGATGTATTATGATTGTACTTTAAGAAGATATAAGAAATACATCTCTTTCTTTTGTCAAACAGAGATCAGCAGGAGTCCTTGGTTTGATGAAATTAGATTTGTGATAGTAAATAAATGTTGATCTGAGGTTATTTGGTTATGCCAAGTGCAAACCATTAGGCCTAACAATAACAATATATCCTTGCTAGATTTATTAACTCCATAGTTCAATGACAATTTTGTTTCATCTAATTTCTGATAATGATAATAATAATTATTACAAATGACAGATATACAGTAATTGATTATTGAATTGGTTGTGGAGTCTAGCCTGTTCCAAAGCCAGACTTGTCTCTATCTGTGTCATTGTTCTCTTCCCATCAGTGTGTCTACTTGATCATGACGAGTGGCAAGTGCACTTGCTTTCTTTGCTTTTTAAGGCTTTTGGTTTTGTCTAAACTCTTTTTCTTTATTATTATCGGCATTGCACTTACTTTGTGAATGCAAAACTTTTCTTTTCTTTTCTTTTCTTTTTTTCTTCTAATATCTTTTTGGCTGGGCAGTTGAGTACTGTAGTGGGATCCATGAAAGCTGGCGTCATAGAATCTTTTTACCTTGTGATGAGTTTTTATTCAAAAATTGGTTGTGGTTGAACCGTGTGGGGCCATTTTTCACCTCCCATGTGTCCATTTTTAAATTAAAGACAGATTTATATTATATCAATCATAATCACAAACAATTAGTTTAGGAAGAGAATGATATTGGATTTGCAAGTGTGCTCTAGGATATACTATTATTAGTCTCAGATTTTTACACTAGTTTGCTTCTTTGGAAAAAAAAAAAAAAAGTAGAAAGAAAAGATAAAATTAGAGAATTTAAGTAGAAAGAAAGTAGTGAGAAAATGAATAAATTTTTGTACTGTTTGATGTAAGAGAAATAATAATAATTAAAAAAAAAGTAAAGTTATATCTCTTGTTTGATTAGATATAAGGTGACAAGAAAGAAAACGATTTATTTTTCTTGAATAGATTATTATATCCTTAACAATAGGAAATGCTAATAAATTGGCGAAACATGATGGACACATATATAGTATATAGGAGGGAAATGTAATTATAATAAGTAATATATATGATATAATAGAAAGAAAAGAAAAAAAAAAGAATAGAGAAACATTATAAGTATAGATAGAATGTTTATTTTAGAGAACTGTGTTTTAAAAGAATCTTCCTTATTTGGTTCAACTGAGAAACCAACAAAGAAAAATATGGTGTATGATATATAAACACAGTTCTCTTCTCAGCATAAAACGGAAAATTGGAAATATAATTGGATGCACACCATATTTTTCTTTCTCGTTGGTTTCTCAGTTGAACCAAATAAGGAAGATTCTTTAAATCTCTCCAATTTTCTCTTACATTTCTATATCTCAATTTTATTATGTACTAACACAGCGCTATACATTATAATGGATTTGATAGACTAACAACCATCCTATACCTCACAAGTGAGGTATACGTAGTGGGGTCTCTTTCATTTCAAGAACCTAAATACGTAGGTGAAATTGCGGATCTACACCTCAAAACTTAATCTATTGAGCTATGTTAATTGAAAGCAAAGGTTAAAGGAAGAATGATAAGGTACGATGAAAATAGTATGATGTACAAAAATGATGCGGGTATATGTGTAACGTTTTCATTTGTTTTTATTATCTATACCCCGAAACGTACGTAAGATTAACTATAGTTTAGCTTAATATAGTCATGATATCCAGCGATCACCATGTGGAAAAAAGTGGGAAACAATAATGAAAAGGAAATATTAAAGAATGTTACTCTATTAAACTTTGAAAAGAAAAAGGTGTTATCATAAAAGGGAAAAAAAAATACACTAAAAAGAAAAGTGTTAAATGAAAGTAAAATGCCAATCAAAGAGGCACAAAACCAAATTGGCTGAATTAACAGAAGGGGGAACATACGAATTTTGTTCACAATTGGTATTACCCTTTTGTTATGTGTTGATTGCTTGTGGTGACATGACATCTTAATGAAGAGAAGAGGAAACTCGTGAATTTGAATCACACTAGGATAATCCCTTTTATGTGTTGATTGCTTGTGTTGACATCTTTCTTGTTAATTGTAGCTTAAAATTTTAACTTGTGATGGGGTTGGAAAGAATGGATAGGTGTCAACTTCCAAAAGAGTCTCCTGTCATGTGAAATGAGATGTCTTCAATCTCTTAATATATTTTAAAATGTATATATTATGTCAATTTTAATTCATATGAATGAGGTGTCAAATCATCTTGGATTAATATAAAATTTTGTATATATATGATATAAAAGTAAAGAACTTTTAATCTAAGAATAAATTTTAAAAAATAATCATTTAATTAAAAATTATTAAGAGGTGTAATAATCGTTAAAAGTTACATTAGTATCATTTGATCTCTTTCTCTCTCTTTCTTTCTCTCTCTCTCTCTCACACACACACACACACACACACACACACACACACACACACACACACACA